AAGTGAGCATATCTTACTTGCTGAAGTGATACATTTGGGAGAAAGTGGCAAGCCTTTGGACACACAGGCCCTTCTTCAGTCTGAAACAGAATGGGAAATTTCAAGATATAAACAAGCTGAAAATAGCTGTCACCTCCAGAAGCGATACCAAGCTTTCTTGTGTATCTTAAAATGGAGAAAATCTGTCTGCTGAGACACATGATCCTGCATCTCCATAGACACCAAAAAGAAGTCTGAACATGCAGACTAAATGTCTGCATTCTGAAGTACCAAAGTTAAGATTAGATGAATCCTTCTTGTAGGTTGACCAGCATAATGGAAAGAAATGGAAGATTTTCCTCTTAAAGTAGCTTTACAGTTATTCCATCTACTATAGTAAGAGTTGGGTGTATTTCAACCCCAGAGTTTAAATGCTTCTAGAAGTGATTCGTTGCAGTTTTTCACTCTGATATATTACCCCTGTCTTAGAAAGTTCAGACTATCTGTTAATAGTATGCTGTAGACCAAACTGGAAGATATATTAGGCAGGAACTCCTTCTGTACTAAGGAAGGTGAACAAGCAGTATTCATCTCCCTTTAAAGTAAGGAGGAAGTAATAAAAAGTTGCTTTTTTTGTTTGCATATCAACTTTCTTTTAGTGTCAGTTTGATTAAAGTAAAAAATTGACAGTACTTTCAAAGCAATTATGGTAGTTGTGTATTATTTTGATACACTGTATTTTTCTCCAAAATACTGAAATATTTCAAAGCAGAGGTGATGTAGTGCAGATGAATTATTTGAAGATACATGACAAATGGATTTTATTATGTAAGTCTGCAGTGAATCACATTTTTAAGTATAATAGATACATATAGTATTTAGTATCTGTATACATATTGTAAGTGGTACTTACTAGCTGACCCTGTGACTAGGGTCATATATTTATTTTTTTTCTTACTATAATACTATTTACCCAGTTGCTTATAAGTGACAAGGCGAACTGTTCATCAGATTCATAGATTTTTAGTAGGTAAATTCTCAAAAACATCTGTCCTTGCTCTAACCCAGAGATAAAAAGTACTTCTCCCGTACTTCCCTGTGTGTGTTACTGTGGGTACAGACACCTGAAATGCAAGAAGAGAGGCTGTCTTAGCTGTATTCTCACTGGCAGGCAAATTTAATTCTGATTTTTTAGTAACTGATGAGAAATATTAACATAATTTTTTGTTTGCAATACACCTCTACATTCTGTACTTTGTTTTTGAAGGTGTCAGAGATAACAGCTGAACTGGCTACATTGCCTAAAAAAGCTCAGTTAGCAGCTGCGTTTATTACCTATCTTTCTGCTGCACATGAGGATCAGAGGAAAACCAGCTTGGATGAATGGACCAAATCAGCAGGCCTTGAAAGTAATTTTGTGTGTCTATGTGTGTCTGTGTCTGTGTCTATGTGTAAGTAAGTAAGCTTGATCATCGTTTTCCTGGACTTGTGCAAGGCGTTTGACACTGTCCCACATGACATCCTTGTCTCTAAAATGGAGAGACACGGATTTGACAGATGGACCACTCGGTGGATAAAGAACTGGCTGGATGGTTGCACTCAAAGAGTTGTGGTCAATGGCTCAATGTCTACATGGAGACCAGTGTCAAGTGGTGTTCCTCAGGGGTCTGTTCTGGGTCCAGTGCTGTTCAACATCTTTGTCAGTGACATGGATTTTACAAGGGCGTGTAGTGATAGGACAAGGGGCAATGGATTTAAACTGAAAGAGGGCAGATTTAGATTAGATAGAAGGAAGAAATTTTTTACATTGAGGGTGGTGAGGCAGTGGAACAGGTTGCCCAGAGAAGTTGTGGATGCCCCATCCCTGGAGGTGTTCAAGGCCAGGTTGGATGGAGCCTTGAGTAGCCTGATCTAGTTGAGAGGTGTCCCTGCCCATGACAGGGAGGTTGGATTAGATGATCTCTAAGGTCCCTTCCAGCCTATGCCATTCTATGATTCTATGATTGGGGAAGTGGGAATGCCAGTGAGTTCTAATGAACGGTCTCAATTGTCTTGGTGTTCCCAAATGAAATTGACAACATTGTCTTACTCAATAAATACTTGTATATACAGACTATTTCTTACAATTATTCTATTAATTATTAAGATTATAAATATAAATTCTTAAGATTTAACTCTATAGTCCTTGCTTAAAAAGAACAGTTTACGTGAATGAATGTATTCACATTAACTGTTGTAAATTTGCCAATGCATTCTGAATACTTCTGCTTTTTCACTAATCATTTTTATCTATGTGTGTTAATAACACCATTAAATATTTTTAGTAACATCAACTAGTTAATAGTAATAAATTCAAGCAATAATATAATAAATTTAAAGGAAATCTACAGACCTGCACTGTGTTAGACAGTCTCCGCTGTGTATAGAGTGATAAATGCTTAAAAATTATGCAGACTATAAGTACTATCACTAAGTTAAACTCTTTCATTTTTTTCAATTTACGGCGGTTCCTGTGTACAGAAAGTGACGAGTTAGTCTGGAAAAGTGAAGGTTTACCTTCAGATGACCTTTCAATAGAAAATGCTCTTGTCATCTTGCAGGTAAATTTGTTTTTTTGTCTTGTCTTGGAAGTATTTCAATTTCTACAAATTTCAGTAACGTGGCATATTCTGGAATTCTGAACTGTTTTGTTTGTGTTATTTTATTAGCACCACAGAATACACACAGAGAAACAAATACTTATGTAACTCTGGGTATTCTGTAGCAAAGGAAAAAAACAAGTAAAGAAAACACATGTTTTTCTTTTTGGTTTTTACAATTTTCTTCCAGATGTCTAACAGACAAAACCTGGTATCAGTCCATTCAGGCTCAAAGTGTGAATAATCATTAACACCAATACAATCAGTGGAAGATTATGTCCCATATATTTTCACTTTGGCATAGTATTTCTAATACTTTGGCATAGTATTTCTAGTATTTTTTTTTCAGAAAAAGGAAAAGGCTATTTGCAGATACTTTTCAAAATATCTGTATTTGAAATGCTGAGATTTCGTCAGATTAGCCATGTGATGTAGGATACAAAATGCCATTCACTTAAGGCCAGTAGCTAATAATACTTGAGAAAAGAATGACAATACTATGCTTATACTCACGATTCACTTTTATCATATAGTTTTATATATATATACTCTAAAGCAATTGCACAATTAGGTACATAATATTGTAGTTATAATGTAGTCATTTATTAGAACTGCTGGAAAGTAAGGATTTAATGCCATGAGGAGAATCTGCATTTGCTACAGGTAGTTTGCTTGGATGATTCTCTCAAATTAGTTACAGCTTTTTCTCCAATTGAAATTTATCAGGCTTTATCATCTTGTTATTAGATCTAGTTAATTCTTTTCTCAGTTTGAGTAAAAAGCTCTTTAATAGATACCATTTTGTACCCTTAAAGCTACTTACATGCTATAATCAAATCTTTTTTTCATCTTTTTGTTTACTTGAATAGGTTGAGCTCTTAAAAATCTCACTGTGCATGAAAAGCTTTTTCAAGCCCTCCCTCAGCTCAAATGATTTTGTGTACAGTTTTTTTCAGCATCCTTTTAAAACTGAAATTAAACATAGTATTTTACCAATGTCATCTACAGTACAGTTCTCAAGCATTGTGCTCATCATCTTTTGATACTTGGATATTGTCCATATTTCTCTATCTTTCAGTTTGAGATCTGAGTAGTTGCTCAGTTTGGAATAGTAGGACTCAGAATCTAAAAAAAAACCCACCCTGAAAGTGTTCTTCTATCAGACTGAATCAGAGACTTGCTGAGAAGACATGTTTAAACCCTCAGCAAGTTTGCTGATGACACAAATCTGAGAGGAGTGGCTGATACACCAGAGGGTCAAGCTGCCACCCAGAGGGTCCTTGACAGGCTGGAGAAAGGGGCTGACAGGAAGAAGGGAAATTGCAAAGTCCTGCAGCTGGGAAAGAGCAAACCCATATACCCACATGTGCTGGGGGCCACCCAGCTGCAAAGCTGCTTTTCAGAAAAGGACCTGGGGGTCCTGGTGGACCCCAGGTTGTACATAGGCCAGTAATGGGCCCTTGCTGAAAAGAATGGTATCCTGGGCTGCTTTAGGCAAAGTATTGGCAGCAGGCCAAAGGAGGTGATCCTTCCCCTCTGCTCAGCACTGGTGAGGCCACACCTGGAGTCCTGTATCCAGTTATGTACTCCTCAGTACAAGAGAAACAGGGATTTGCTGGAGAGAGTCCAGTGAAAGGCCGCAAAGATGATAAGGCAGTGGAGCATCTCTCCTGTATGGAAAGGCTGGGAGAGCTGGGACTGTTCAGCCTGGAGAAGAGAAGGCTCAGGGGGATCTTATCAATGTCTATAAATACTTGAAGGGAGAGTGCAAAGAGGACAGAACCAAGCTCTTTTCAGTGGTGCCCAGGGACAGGGTCAGAGGCAATGGGCACAAACTGAAACACAGGAAGCTCTGTCTGAACATCAGGAAACACAGTAGTGAGAGTGACCAACCACTGGCACAGGTGAAGTGGTGGAGTCTCCACCCCTGGGGGTACTCAGAAGCCATCTGGAAATGGTCCTGGGCCATCAGCTATAGGTGGCCCTGCTCAGACAGGGGTTTGGACAAGACGATCTCCAGAGGTCCCTTCCAATCTCAACCATTCTGTGATTCCGTGAAATCTTAAATGTACATGTCATCTGTGAATAGGTCTCTTTTCACTTGCTGGGCTTACTATCATCTCTGTGGTCACTCTGTGTTGTGACCATTGTGTAAATTCTGAGCACTTAATTAGTAATAATTAGTGCATCAGTGGTTAAAGTCTTAATATTTAGAAAGCAATGTGTATAGCATAACATATCTTTATATAGTACAATAAAATAGTAAAGCTTTGCACAGTATTGGTATGGGAACCACACATTAATAAGGGTTTTATTAAAATGAAAAGCTGCCATCTCATCAATATGCATGTTGTTAGCCAACATCACCAAAATATTCTACGTTGTAGTGTTTGCAAGTTTGAGATCTGGATTTGTTTGTGATTATAAGTAAAACACTAGTTCTATCTTTATGCTTGTGAAATACTTATATTCATTATTCTGTCTGAAATTAATTGAGGTCCAAAACCAGAAGTACTGTATTATTGCTCACTACAGAAAGAAAAAGGAAAAATAATACCTCTTCTTCTAAGTTTCAAAGAAGTCGTGAGTAACGAAAGCCATAGATTATACTCATTGAATAGAGACTCCTGTTTTTAAGAGAAGGTGAAGAACTGCCTAGCTTTAATGGGACAAACACCTGAGAATTTTGATTTTGGGTGCTTTATTTAAAAAAAACAAAAAACAAAAAACAAAAAAACCCCATAAAATTCCTTCTGCTGTTTTTTGTTGTTATTTTGTTATTCGACTGTTACTGTTTCTTTAAACAGTTTGTTGATGAAAAGATTTCGAAATGATGATACCATTATTTTGGGAAATTAAAAAAGGACTCTATTCAATTTTATTCTTAAACAAAACAGATTTCAGTAAAAAAAATATTTTTTTTTTTTCTCCTCTAGAGTAAAGTTTGTCCATTTTTGATAGACCCTTCTTTCCGGGCTACTGAATGGTTGAAGACACATTTGAAGGAATCACGTTTGGAAGTTATTAACCAACAGGTGCAGTATTTATTCTTCATCTTAAAATTCTGTTCTACTTGAGCTCACTCTGTTCCAGAGTTTAGAGAGCAGTTTTTAAAAGGGTGTGATAGCAATCACTAAAAATGTGATTATATTCCATGAAGCATATAATTTCTTGTAGAGTTCTAGGTTACAATATTCTTATACAGTGCTGAAAATATGCTCAAGGAGGAGATCGGAGTATTTAAAACTAGAGGGTCAGCATTTGGTATTGCTTCTACAAGGTTGCCTTTTTGTGCTGCCCTCTCCAAGAGAATCAGTATTTCCTGCTGGGAGGGAGATAGTAAAAGATTTGTACACAGAGAGGTCTCCAGTATTCTTGGTTGCAGTTCACTGGATTTGAGGAGTATGTATACACTGCTTCCCTATGAGTTTTGTGTTGTGTTATCTACATTGGAAACAGTAGGTTTGATTTCGGTTTGAGGTTAAGGTACCTCAGATCATTTGTCTACATGTCACTGTTTACATGGGTGTCGAGGCTTGGCTCAGTTGCACCCACATAGAGGCGGGCATCTAGTGCCATTCAAAAGTCCCTTATTGAACCCCACCTGGCCTCAAGATACTGCTTGAACAGAATGTAGGTCTTCATAGATCCCTGCTGGCTCTGTGCAGGCCTTTTAGATACTCTCTGGTGGTACTGGATACATATCTTTGGGTAACTGAATGCTTCCTCTGCTAGCTAATTGACTTGATTACCTTTTAGGCTCTGTTGTCTGCATTGTCTAGGATCTCCATTGACTGTAATGGAATCTTAAGCACCATGTGGATGTTTAGACATCTACACGTAAAAGACTACGTTTAGAAATCTTAACATCAATGTGAATCCTGTCCTTAGATCTTGATTTGGTTTTGAGACATAGCTACTTGAGTGTTAACTAGCCAAGACTTCCAGATGCACCTGACAGATGTGACACAAGACCTGTGGTAGACTTGTACTCTTCTGGTGCAGCACTTCAAGAGCTAGGCATGTTCAATAGGTTGCCTGTATGTCAGTGGCTGAATAGATCAAACTTATTTAAATTAAACACTTGTGGCTAAACCCTGAAATATCATATGATGCTTGTAATAGAATTTTTCAGCTATGCTACTGATTTTTAGATTTTGGTTTCTGGTATAATGCCTTCCTCTTCATTCCAAAGTGTTAATATTTCAAAAAATCTGAATCAAAGGAATTTATTTTTATTTGCCCAGGACACCAACTTCCTAACCGTTCTTGAGCTGGCAGTGAGATTTGGGAAAACACTTATTATACAGGAAATGGATGGAGTGGAGCCTGTACTTTACCCGTTGCTAAGAAAAGATCTTGTTGCTCAAGGTAAATAACCAAGATCTTTACAAATGCTTGCTTAAAGCTTTTGTAGCTTAGATCTATATATATATATCATAAAAAAATGGATTTTTCTAAAAACATGAGTATTGTGTAGTTTTTTCCTCTTTAACCTGCTGCTAGCACTTCAGTGCATGAAATACATTGGGGATATGTTCTTGTTTAGTAAGTGGAAAAATATTGAAAAGTATTTAAAGATTTTTTGACTGGAATTAGAGTAAAATGTTTTTATCAACTCTTCACAATTTAAATTTTAAGTTAATTTCTAGTGATAATTTCAAACACAGTTTTGCTTAGGAACTTGAGCCTTAACTAGACCAGAAATTACACAACTGGTTATGCAGCTAGAATTTTAGAATGTTGGTGTTGCTGTTTCTCTTTCATTTGTCTGAAACTAAAGAAGGCACAAAGATCTGATGTGACTTTGGAATGGGAGTCATAGAGATCACCAAAATGGTGCAATTTGATGAAAGGAGTTTCCCTAATTGATGCAATTGGAAAGGAAAAAAAAAAATTACATTTTACAATATCTCTGCTTTGGAGAGATAATGTACTCTAAATATAACTGCTTTGGATTTAGTTGCTTTAAAAAGGCTGATATGAAAAATTTTGTTGAAAAGTTTAGCAAAGATAAATAGTAATAGTTTAAGTATCTCAGCATGAATTGTGTTGAATTATGTTGCATATTTTGAAATTATATCAAAAGGACTGAGTGGATTAAAAAAATACAGCCATGTATGTTTTAAATACTTTCTAAATTATTGTAATTAAAGTATATTTCCGTTATCCTTAGTGAGTGTATTTCTACTTCACGTGTTCATTCCTCAGTGCATACCACAGCCTGCGCGTGTAATTTACAGTGTGAACTTTGGGGACTGAAAATAGCTCCGGCCGCCTCCTTTTTGCTGTCATTTCATCTCATACTGAGATCTAATAGGGGATGAGGTAGCAGTAATTCTTTAAATGTAAATACATGGTAAAAATAAATTCAAATGCTGTAGAGTTCTTAGGTACGTTTTTCTCCTATATCAGAAAGGTCTGTTTAGTGAAAAGAAAATGTTTAAATCATTCTTCCATTACACCTGTGATTGCTTTTTTATCCTTGGTAAAAGTTGAGAGCACCACCAAAGTGGTGACTTCAGGGATCTGTAGGAGGCTAGGCAGAACTTCTTTACAACTTCTTTTTTTTCACTAGCTTCTGCTGAACTTTGGAAAGCAGAAATACAGTATTACAGGCATCTTAAGTGATTCTACTCCATCAAATTAAGAGATGAATGTCTGCAAAACTGTGGAGAAAGCAGATTAAATTGCAATATACTAGTTTATTAAGGGGAATTGCTCACAATGCTCAGGTATCCTCTTTTGTATGTTAATGAGCTGTGTTAATGCCTGTGCGAGTCCGCCCTAGGGAGCTGTTTTCTGAGAAGGGAGAATGGGTCACTACTGGAGTCTTTTCGGTCATTTCACAAGCAGGCATGTGTTCCTTCTTTTTGTCAAACTGTGGAGGTGGGGACCTGTCTGCATTATTTTGCTTGTGATGACTGCACATCTTTTCATTACTTGGAATGAAACGTTAAGAAAAATGTGAATATATATACTGCAATAAACAGCTTTCATTTTCTGTTTGGCGTTTTTACAGCATGGGCCTAAAATTTATTCTGATCCTTGGCACAGAAGCAAAATTGATATGTGATTTTCATCTCTAGCCATGTTTTAGCAAGAGATTTATACTTAGAGTTTTTCAGATCTGCTCCTAGTGCTAAAAATAGAGAAGCACCTAACTGTTCCACTTCAGAAATTTCTCTGGAAAGGAAATTTTCACTTTGAAACTTTTCATCTTATAATTTTGTTCTTCCTTCTTAGTATCAGGAGGCAAAATCTTACTCTAGTCATGTGATTGTTTGAGTCTATTCTTTTCTGACCCTGTTATAGTGGAAACGTGGTGGAAGGAGGGTGAGGAGAGGCCATACATACTAGTTTAATTGTGTGAAAGGCATACTGAGAAATGTCAAAATATTAGGAGTATAAACAGAGATTGAAACCATGAAAGCAGAAATGTAATAGTTTGTTTGTTTCATACTGTGATTCAATTAAGTATATTTATGATAAGACAAATGTATGGGATATTTCTTAATAGAATATTTTTCTTTCAATCTAATGACTAGATATTCCAACATCTTTAGTTTCATAGACATTCTCTCTAACAATTATCACAGAAAGTAATATTTTAATAGAATTATGATTGTACAACAATATGAACCTTCTACAAACAAATGTAACAGATCCAGAGATGAAATCTAATGGTTTTGGATTACATTCAGAAAGTGTGGAACCATCTTAGTTAGCCAATATGCAATTATGGTTAGTGTGTTTTGATAGAGTGGTATACCTGTGTGGAAATGTAAATGAATATGTTTGAATTATGACAGGATTCTTACACAAAAGGAGGCTTCTCCAGTGTATCATGTGTGGTGTTTTGTCTCCTATTCGTTGTTTGAAGATTTCAAAGATTCTTTAGTATTAGTTTTACTTCAAGTACATTTTTTGCCATTCATGCTACTCTGGTGTATTAAATATTCTCACTATGTAACTTTCTTACACTGGTGCTATGTTATTTCATTTTTTTTTTGTCTAAGAATGCAGGAGAGATTATGTTCCTTAAATTTTCTAAATTTATTTTTCTTTCTGAACAATTTATAAATAAATTTTATGAAATATATCTGCAGCTATTGGTCATAAAGTAGTATACAAATACAATTTCAGATAATTCTAGAACGTTCCAATCAGAGTGAGCATAGCATCTATTTATTATTTGCAGGATCCCGTTACGCTATACAAATAGGTGAAAAAATGATAGATTATAATGAAGAGTTCCGTCTTTTTCTCTCGACAAGGAACCCACATCCCTTCATTCCACCTGATGCTTCTTCTATTGTTACAGAAGTAAACTTTACCACAACAGGAAGTGGCTTAAGAGGACAGGTAGGCATTTGAAATAAAACAATGTGTGTGTGGCGGACATTCATAGCTACACACAGCTTCTGGAAGAAGCCCTATGGTGCAGTTTGCATTACTGGTCACGGAAATATTTTCTAGCACACAAATATAAGTGGTAAAATTGATGCTGAAACTAAATTTAAATTTTAAAATTTTGGTTTTATGCACTTTGGAACAAAGTGAGTCCAATAGAGAAAATGGGAACCGTCTCATGACTTCAGTTGCAACAGATTAATTGCTTCTGTTTTCTGTTCAAGATGCATTTATGGTACTGTGGAAACATTTCTGTTACTGCTCTCCAGTGTCCTAGTTAGAGAGTAATGCTAGCATCAAGATACTTTTGTACAGGAAAAATGTAATGAAATCAAAAAGCTGTATATTTTACTTCCTCCAAAATTCTAGTAGCTTTTGAGGGTTTTTTTCTGTAACATTTAGGAAGCAAAATGTAGCATACAGATGGAAGAGAGAAAAAAAAGAAAAGAAGGAGTAAATTAAGGGAAGAAAAAACCTTCTTTGTTTGGTATGAAACAAGATTTTGAAACTAACAAGTGGCTTAGAATGGGATGTAAATAAGATGTTGATAAGTAAGATATAATTCAAAATGTGAAACGTGGATAACCATATGGATTTCCTCCCTGCACTGGAAGTAGGGAATTGACATCATACAATGGAACCAAGTGAATTGACCCCCTCTTTAAGTGGAAATACGGAAAAAAATACTTTGTTTTGTGTTTTCTCTCTTCGTTGGCAAGAGAGGGATTTGGCTTTTGATAGACTTGCTGGAAAGAAATCTCTGCTATTCTTTCCAGTTTGTGGTTTCTCTCACCTACTTCTTTTTATATCTGATAACGGTTTATACACTAATGAAGACTGCCAGTCATTTAAACACAGATGTGATTCAGATTGAGGTGCGAAGGTTTAGGTCTCAGTATAAAAGGATGTGAATCAGTGATACGGTGCCTTTTGAGATGTTGTTGAGTATCTCACCTGGCTTGCATCTGATGTTACCCATAAGGGCATGGCTTACAGTTGTTCCTGGGTTGTACTTGCTACTGCAGGATATCCTGGATATCTGCATAGATGTAAAGCTGTTGGATGCCTGGTGCAAGTGACTAAATCCTCAGAAGTCTACTTTCAAAAATATAGACTGTATACTGCTGTGTAATTAGTGATCATATATTATGCTATGTAATTAATGACTATATGTTATGAAATATTAAAATAGTTTTTATCCTGTTGAATAATCTCCTGTCTTTTTAGCTTTTGGCTTTAACAATTCAGCATGAAAAGCCGGACTTGGAAGAGCAGAAGACAAAACTGTTACAACAAGAAGAAGATAAGAAGATACAGTTAGCTAAGCTTGAAGAATCTCTTTTGGAGGTAAAATAAATTTACCTCTCTTATGTCTGTTAGATCAGTAAGATAGCCTTCATATTGTTATGTGTTTGAATGAAGAAGGTAGATGTGTTGGAATAATGAGCCCTCAGAATTTTTGATTTGAGAAAATAAAAGCATGATTTGCCTGTGGCTGTGGGAGCATAAAGTAGATAAAATATGTGCATCTGACATGAAACTGTAGTATTTCAATACATTAAGCATTGACAAAGTTAAATGTATGAATTGTTGGGCTATGTGTAGGCTGGTTTAGATTGATTAGAAATTTCATTAATTTTAATACATTAAGAAAGAGAAAACTTGGTTAAAAATTATACTAATTTTTTCAAATTATGAGTTTTTTAAAAAGCTGCATTTTTAAGCTTGTGTATCATGTCAAATGATACTTTATCAAGTTGAGAAATTATTCTATGTTGTGAAAGCAAAAATGCTGAAAGAAAAATTCCCAGTAGAAGATGGAAAGATTTGTTGAGAGACATGTAAAACTTTAAACCTCCACAATTGCTTCTTATTAGCAATGAACTGTAATGTTCTTTATAGTTAGCATTTTTCTTTCTCATATTTAAAATTAATAATCTCAATTTTCAATTTACCTTTTTAATGAAAGTAGTTATTCTCAGAAACAGTTGTACACCTCTATAAGAAAAGGTAGCTTCCGAGGAAGAGAACTATTTTCTTTTTTGTTTGCGTCTTGTCATGGATTTCACAAAAACTGTACCTCATGCCCATAGGAATGAATCCTCAAATCTGCCTTCTAAAAGAAGGAAGATTTACCTGCTGCCTCCAAACCCTCAGTCTGAGGATGAGTCCCAGAACTCTGCAGTATGCAGCACATTGGACTTGAGCATCTGCTAGTTGTTTTTACAGATTCCTCAAAAAGTGATAAACTGAATTTTATTAGACTGGCCCTTAATAGCTCAAATTTAGAATTTTGCACATAATTATCTAATGTGATATGAATTTCCACATTTACTGTCTCTATTAATCTCCCTATTAAGTCTCAAATACTAACCTCAAACCTTTTCAAAAACTGTAATGGGCAGATTTCTCTTACAGGCAGAGGGAAACTTGTTCTCTAAAAAAATTTCGGTATTTAAATTTGATCATTGTTTAACATCTAAAATTCTACCAGAAGTTGAGAGTTCAGAGTTGCAACAAAAAAATGTCCACTTTTTCGAACAGACTTCTTGTGTGGTTTTGGAACTCCAAAATCTTTCACATTTTTCCAATCTGAATTATCAAGTGCAAGATTTCAAGTAATTGATGCCTAATATATCTGCAACAAAAAGTGGCCAAGTATTAACACCAAAGTTGATTTCAACTTTGGCATTTTTGTTAGCACTGAAGTCAGAATACTCTTTCACCCTGAAGAAAGAAACCTAAAGCTCAGTGGAAACTGACGGGTGCTACAAGTGACTTTCTCCACGAAGTCAGTGCTGGAGGTGATCTAGCTAAGTTCAAGTTAATTCTAAAACAACATTAGCATTCCATCTGAAGTACTATAATGGTTTTCTTCTGAAGGTCATGGAGTGAAGACATACATGCTGTGGCTACCTCATAATTCACACTATGATTCCTCATAGCAGAATCGGACTCCCTTGAAAAAACAGATGATCTTGCCCTAAACTCTTTTCAGCTAGAGAACTAAGTGCTTTCTACTGTTCTAACTTGTGAATCTCTGCCTCCAAAATATCCTGAAATGCTGTCCTACAGGTAGTTGTTCAGAACTGACTTAGCTGACAAGAAGCCAATTTTGTGTTGTTGTCTGACTAAAAAAATTGTATTGAAGTGTATTTACCGAAAGTTGGTAAAAAACCTTAATAATAGTGAATCACTCAAGCTTTTCCCACTTCTTATTGGAAGTGAAATTAGAAGAGAACTCAGGAAAAATATGGAGTGATCTCAAGGGTTTTGAAGGGATTTGAAATTGTTGTAATTGTAAATATTCATCTCAGCTGGAAATAAGAACTAAATTGTATAGGGGATATTGGAATGTTTTTGAAGGAAAATGAATGACTGGGTACAGGAAGTCATTACAAGTAGCCAATTTCAGCTTAAATTGGTAGGTAAATAGAAGAAAAAATACTCTAATTTGAATTTACCATGGGGATATTAGTATGTAAGACTCTGATCATAGAAATCATTCTCAAAAGCTTGCTGACGACTGGAATTTCAGAACCTGATGATCTGCATTTCTTTTAAAACATCTCAGTTTTTTGAATAACCACCTGCTTTCTAGTACTTTCAAGTGCATTCTTGATGCATTCAAGGATTCAGAAATATTTACAGGTCAGAAAGGACAGCTTCCAAAATGGTTCCTTTAGAGGTAACATAGATGACTTTTTTTTTTTCCAGACACTTGCAACATCACAAGGCAATATACTAGAAAATAAGGATCTGATTGAATCTTTGAATCAGACTAAAGCAAGTAGTGCACTCATCCAAGAATCACTTGCTGAATCTCTCAGACTTCAGAGTTTCCTTGATAAGGTAGAAGACTATTTTAATCTTCTAGTGCTGTTTTTTTTTCCTGCTAAAAATAATCATCTTCTATATAGAGAGGATATATACATCCACAGGAGTACAAGATCAGTAACATACTAAATTAATTTTTTGGAGTAAAAGATAATTGAGATATGCAAGTACAGAAACTATTTTCAGTAATTAAATTCCTTTTTTTTACACATGGTGAATAGCTATATGATTTAAAGTCTGCCAGTTTGAATTAAAGGAATTTTCCTCAAGGACTTATTGGCAAATAATGTGTTTTGACTTTGTTTACGCCACCTGCTATGGCAAATGGTATGGCTCATATGGATGTTCTTACTTAATACATCTCTTGCTATTGTAAAAAATTAGATAATTGATGATGCTATTCATCTAGAAGGCTGTTTTTGTAACAATTACAGAGTTTTCCCTCTGTGTTCTTATTTGTTTAGTTTACAATTTTCTGTTGAATTTTGCGACGTTTGGCGGTGGGGAGAGGCCTCAGTACCCTAGAGATTGATTTCCGAATTGTTTTTCATAAGTTAAACAATTTTTGCCAGAAATGCTTTCTTCCAATTTAGAAATCTAAAGATAGTGTTGAAGTCTTGAGTGCATGTCCCTAAATTTGAAGAATCGGAAAGGATTCGGTTTTCTAGAGCAGTGGGAGTCATCCGGATGTTTTTCCGTGGGCTGAATATGGGATGCAAAAACCAGTAGATGGCAGTAATGTATTGGCTTTTTATGTATGTGTGTGTGTTTTTTAACCACAGGAGAGGGACGCCTATCTCCCTTTAGCTGAGAGTGCTAGCAAGATGTACTTTATTATCTCTGACTTGTCCAAAATTAATAATATGTACCGCTTCAGTTTGGCGGCTTTCCTGCGACTTTTCCAAAGGGCTCTGCAAAGCGAGCAGGTATGTTGTCTTCCTGGAGCTGTTAATGCTGCAGAAGAATCAATCTGCTTTGATCCTTAGAATTTGTTAGCTGTTCTGGACATTTTTAAAAAATAATGTATAATAATGTATAAGGACTGATGATGCTTTACATATTCAGAATACATGCACATGGAATTTTTAATGATCTTACATTACATATATATTGCAAAATTGCTGTACTGTCTGAAAACAAAGTAACTCTTACTTGTAATTTCAGACTTGCTCTTTACATAAGGTGATTTAGGAAAAAAAAGGTTGATTTTAACTTTACTAAAGGGTTTATTTAAATAAGTTAATGATCTAATCTGCAAGTAACGATAATTCTATCAACAAGGGGTAACATAAGAAAAGACCTATATTTCTACATGGTTCAGTTACCTGACAGAAGATCAAATATCTACTTTTATACAGTTTGTAAACATGCATGCAGCCTGTCTTGTTGAAAATAAAATTTTTACTTTTCAGTATGCTAATGGCCAGTATATTCTCCTTACTGAATCACTGGGTTGTGGATTTATCCCTTGTTGCCTCACTCTTTAGGTCTAAAAAGCCACACTGAGTAACGATGCATTTCCTTTTTATTCAGTATCTCCAAAATTCATCTTCTTTCTCTTTGCTTCTGCTTTAAAATGGCACTCACCAGCCTTTTTTCATGTCACTTTTGGATTACCCTTTATTCTGGCATCTGTGCTTACAGCTGTCCTTCCAGGACCATAGTTCTGACTATGCAAACTTGCCCTCTTGGAAGCTCTTTACCCATTGCTTGTTTTCCACAACATGA